GGCCTAGCTCACAGCAACCTCAACTCTCTGGGCTCAAGCAATCCTTCTGTCTCAGCCTCCCGGGTAGCTGGGACTACAGGCATGTGCCACCACACCCAGCTAATTTTTTCTATATATGTTTTTAGTTGGCCAATTAATTTCTTTCTATTTTTAGTAGAGACGTGGTCTCATTCTTGCTCAGGCTTGTCTTGAACTCCTGACCTTGAGCGATCCTCCCGCCTCAGCCTCCCAGAGTGCTAGGATTACAGGCGAGAGCCACCATGCCTGGCCCCTCTTTCATTTCTGATTTGGTAATTTGTCACTGAGGGATTGTGTGTACTGAGGACAGAGGAGGAGGGAAGGGGGAGAAATACCATGTTTGCAGGACAGAGGTGGAAGAGGAGCAGGGAGCAGTTAACACAGTATTTAATTAATACCCATTTCCTCTGGAAACTTTAATCTGCAGGAGTGCAGGGGAAAGGTTTCTTTCTGTTCATTGGTATATCCCAATACCTGGCTCAGTGCCCAGCACACAGTAGGCATTTCATAATAGCTAACACGTATACAGTGTTGCCACGTGACAGGTACTGTTTTAAGTGATTTTGAAATATTAACTCATTTAATCCTTGCAACTGAATACAATTAGGTACTATTATTTTTTTAAAAAAATTTATTGAGATATAATTCACATGCCATAAAATTCGCCATTGTTAAGTGTTCAATTCAGTGGTTTTAGCATATTCACAAAATTGCGCCACTAGCACCACAATTGATTTTAGAACATTTTCATCATCCCAAAAGAAATCTGTAGTGACTCCTACCAGTTTCTCACTAGCAGTGACTTATTCTCCCGTCACCCCAGCCCCTGGCGACTAGTAATCTACTTTCTGCCTATCTGGACATCTTACATAAACAGAAGAATGAAATATATGGCCTCTGGGTTCTGGCTTTACCCTGTCTTCAGGGTTCAGCCGTATTATAGTAATTCATTCCTCTTAATGGCTGCGTATTGTTCCGTTGCGTTTATATGTTATATGCTGTATAGCCATTCGTCATTCCTTGGGTTGTTTCCACTTTGGGGCCATCACGCATAAGCCTGCTATGAACATTCGTGTACAGGATTTGTGTACTTGTATGTTATCTCATTTGCTGGGGGCAGCAGAGCTAATAGCCCAGGGGTTAAGGGTGCCAGATTCTGGAGCCACCCTGCAGAGGTTCAAACCCTGGCTCTGCCACTGAGGACTGTGTGACTTCAGGCAAATGGCTTAGCACATACGAGTACCAGCGCCCTCACTTGTAACATGGGAGTAACAGTAGGACGCATCTCACAGGGTGATTGTGAGGCTTAAATGATTTAACATATAGGATGTATTTTACGTGCTTAGGATAATGCCCCACACGTAGTAGGTGCTTTCTGTTTGCTGTCTCTAAATAGCCTAGCAAGGAAAACGATCCTCCCGTGAGCCACCGCACCCGGCCTGACCCTGGCTATTATCTTTTAGATAAGTCCTTTCCTTCCCGTAACTTCTGTTTGCTCACCTACAAAGAGAAGTTTCAATAAATGATCTTTAAGGCTCTTTCAGAATTTTGGCTGAATAGGTCAGAGACCAGGCTTTGGGTTCAAATGCCAGCTCTGCTGTGTGACCTTGTGCAAGTCACTTAACTTCTCTGACCTCCTCTGTAACATAAAGACATCAGTAACACCTATCTCTCTGGGTGTTGTGACACTCCTTGTGAAAGGCTCAGCGCACTCTCTGGGATACTACCTGGAGGTGGCACTGCAGCTCCAGGATTCTAAGTTGGCTGCGAGGGAACACTCGATTCTTCCTGGGGGCCAGGTTGCCATACGCCCTCTGTCTCCAACACTTTAGCCACCTGCAGACTTGCCCTCTTCTTCCTCCCTCTGGCAGGCTTTGGGACCTGCTCGCATCATTGCTACACTCCCTGTTGCCCGTCTTCACCCACCCCCTGGGCCACCATCCTGGGCCCCAAACCTTCTGTGGCAGAGGATCCCGACCTCGCTGTAGCTCCCTCCTTCCCTGAGGTCTCCAAACAGCCCCCTTTCTTTTCTTTTCTTTTCTTTTTTTTTTTGAGACAGATTCGCTTTGTTGCCCAGGTTAGAGTAAGTGCCGTGGCGTCAGCCTAGCTCACAGCAACCTCAAACTCCTGGGCTCAAGCAGTCCTACTGCCTCAGCCTCCCGAGTAGCTGGGGCTACAGGCATGCACCACCATGCCTGGCTAATTTTTTCTATATATGTTAGTTGGCCAATTAATTTCTTTCTATTTATAGTAGAAACTGGGTCTTGCTCTTGCTCAGGCTGGTTTGGAACTCCTGACCTGGAGCAATCTGCCCGCCTTGGCCTCCCAGAGTGCTAGGATGACAGGCGTGAGCCACCGTGCCCGGCCCAAACAGCCCCCTTTCACTGCAAAGGTTTTTCTACTCACCCTGGCAGAGCAACATAGGAGATGCAGCAAGGCCACCAGCCTTCCAGAACCAGCACCACTGTGCGGCACCAACCACGTGCTGGGAGGCTAACCCAGGCCCGCTGGGGTCTTTCCCAGGTCAAGGCCACGAAGTTGGAGGAATGGAGGAGGCAGGTGTTCTGGGAAGGGGGTGTGTGGGGAGGAGAGGAGGGCTCTTCACCCCGCATCTCAGGACCTCACAGCCCCTCCACAAACACGGACTGCGCAACCCGGATGAACCAGAGGCCACGAGGAAAGGGAAGGAACGTCCCGGCCCTTGGAGTGCTCACACTCTACCAGGGAGCTCGGCTACTACAGCAGAGCAACTGTTGCACCACAGAGAGCCAGACTCGCACCGTGGTGGAGGCTTGTTCGGAGGGGGTGCGGGTGAGGATTGTTGGGGAAGGCTTCACGGAGGAGGTGGCACTTCAGCTGGTCTTCAGATATGTCTTTTTTTTTTTTTGAGACAGAGTCTCGCTTTGTTGCCCAGGCTAAAGTGAGTGCCGTGGCGTCAGCCTAGCTCACAGCAACCTCAAACTCCTGGGCTCAAGCAAATCCTCCTGCCTCAGCCTCCGATAGCTGGGACTACAGGCATGCGCCACCATGCCGGCTAATTTTTTTCTATATATTTTTAGTTGTCCAATTAATTTCTTTCTATATTTTAGTAGAGATGGGGTCTTGTTCTCGCTCAGGCTGGTTTTCAACTCCTGACCTTGAGCAATCCTCCTGCCTTGGCCTCCCAGAGTGCTAGGATTGCAGGTCTGAGCCACCGCACCTGGCCTGGTCTTAAGATATTTTGCCAAGTCCATGAAGGGGGGGGGACACCAGAGTTTGGGGCTCACTCAGGGCAGAGCGTCGACGGGGTCTGGCTGGGGAGGAGTGAGGTTTATCCAAAGCTGTGGGCTCTCGCGATGTCTGGGTGAGCCTGAGGCTGAGGAGGGGTGGGGGGGTGGTCCCTCTCTTCCCTCCGGCTGACCCCAGGGGCCGTGCCCCGTGTCCCTGCTCTCCTAGGCTGGCCGGCAGCGCGGCCTGCTGACAGTGAGGAAGAAGTGGCTCCTCCCGGCCGGCTGCTGCTTCTTCTGCCTGCTCTCCGCGGTCATGACGGGCTGCTTCCTGTGGCAGTACCACCTCCCCAAGCTGAAGACCGGTGAGTGCGGAGTCACCTGAGATTCTCCCCCACCCTGTGGGTCCTCCTGGGCTTTGTGCCGCCACCCCCGAGCCCAGGGTGCAGGGCGGACCATGAGATCCAGACTCAGAGACTCTGGCCTCCATTCTGACCCCAGCTCTCACTGATTGTGCATCTTTGGGCCAGGCCTGCGACCTCCCTGTGCCTCGAGGCCCTTGTGTGTAAAATGAGGCTCCTACTGCCACTGGGGTTTTCCTCAAGCCACCCAGGCTAGAGGTCAAATTCAGGGTTGCCAAAAAAAGTACAAACAGTATTTAGATTGCTCTGCCTCCAGCCACCACGGTGGGACTTCAGGCCTTAGTCCCCTTCCAAGACCCTCCCGCAGCTGCATCTAAGGCCCCCAAGAGGAACAACTCACAGGTGTCCACAGACAGCAGCTGCCATTTCTTGGGGCCTCTCCTTTCTGGGCTGGTCAAGGCGCAGCACAGTAGCCACCGCTGCTGGTGATGTCCACCAGACCCTCTGTTACTATAGCAACCACTGGACCTCCAACCTGCTGGGATCCTGGGTGGTCCAGGGCCTGAAGTCTGTGCTGCATGGGGGAGAACACCCCTCTCCATTCCTGTGTCATCCTGTGGGACAGACACCTCAGAGCTCAATGAGGGACCCTGGGCTCCCAAGTCCTGCAGAGATTTTTGCAGAAATGCCTTCTTGTATGTTCTTGCCATCTCCTTCCTCTCCTACCTCAACCCTTTCTTTCTAGGGTAAATTCCTTTATGAGGGGCTTCTTAGACCCTTGAGCAAACAGACCCTGGGTAGGCAGGCTTCTCAAACTATCAAACTACCAAGCCATAGCACACCAATATTACTTACAAATACATAAGAATGAATTATTAGGGAAATTAAAAAAAAAAGACATCCAAAGTAGAAGCCCAAGTTTTGAATTTAATTAGACTCAACAGATGCAAAATTACTTTGTCAAAATGCCATAAATGTTTCTAAATGCTCCCTCTCTCTCTAGTTTTGTGCTTAGTTTGTTACAAATGGGAAACAGTTCACGGTCTGCAGACCACAGCGATCTGGGTCCTGGGCCCACACCCTCTCAATCCAATCTGCCTTCTCTCGTAGCCTGGTGTCTCCCGTGTGCACACAGTGAAGTTGGGGCGCACGGTGGCAACGCCAGGCCGACCTGGGTGCCAGGCTGGGCAAGGCCTGGGCTCTAGCTGAGACCCCCCACTCTAATTATTAAACCTATATCATGGACTTGTTGAGAAATCCTCCCTAAGGTTTGTAGTTTTCCTGTTTGGGACTGTGTCAGTTATCTATTGCTAAGTAACAAACTACCCCAAAACCTACTGGCCTCAAGCAAGGTGGGTGATTATTTCTCACAGTTCTGCGGCCGGCAGTCCTGCTGCTAGTCTAGCCTGGGCTCTCTCCAATGCAGCGGATGGGTCAGCTGCGCCAGGGGGGCTCCCCCTCCCTGTGGACTCTCAAGGCCGCTCTCCCAGGCCTGTCCCCGAGGCCGCAGTGCTCCTGGGAGCAAGTCCCTTAACGCCTAGCCTGAGCCCCGTCCTGCCAGCACCCTCCCGTCTCCCCGGAGGTGCCAAGGACGCCACATACCTGGACAGAGGCAGAACGGATTCAAGCCCCTGAAGCCTCGATGCTCGGCTCTGGGGACAGAATGAGTTGACCCTTATGGTTTAGGGCTGGAGCCCGAGCGGGGCTCCAAGTCCCCCAAACTTCTCCACCCACACATACATAATCAGGAAGAGGGGAAGACAGGTGGACGGGCACATGTGGCCGAGCCCGCCCCACAGAGCCCGCTGACCATGTGGAGGGAGGAGGCTGGTCCAGCAAGAGAGCAGGGAGTGCAGGGACCGCCAGCCAGGGACTGTGACCTAATAGAAGTCACGGAAGCTCAAGCCGCAGGTGGTGAGTGTGGGACGGTGCCTTCTCCGCACACGCACACTCTGCCCCTTGCCTCTCAGCGCCCATGGCTGATGTCCCCACCCGGATATCTCCTGGTAAGGCTGTCATTGCTAGGGAGGGCTGTCCCCGAGGCACGGCTCTGGCCTTTGCTGCCACCTGTCCCCTCTCTCCTAGAATGATCCCTGGACTCCATCCTGATTTCTGTCTCCTACTATGTGATGTTCCCTCCAGGTTCCTTGGGGCCAGAGGTGACCTCTGCCCCCGTGAGGATGTGTCCCCGGCACCCTGAGCCCGTGCCTCTGGCCCACCCCCTCCCTGTGTTGAAGGAGGCCCTGGAAAAGGTCAGTGATGGCCCAGGAGGGAACTGGGCATGTAGCTGGGCCTGGGTGATGAAGGGGAGGGCCCCCCTCTGTGTGGCAGTGGCATTCATTCATTCATCCATCCCGCATGCATTTCGTGAGCACTTGCTCTGAGCCAGGCACTGGGCATGTGGCAGGGAGAAGATACTGACCCGCCCTAGTCTAGGGATGAGGGCAATAGTCATGGGTGGGAGCTGACACAATGACTCACACCTGTAGCTCCAGCTATCAGCAGGCTGAGGTGGAAGGATTGCTTGAGGTCAGGAGTTCAAAACCAGCCTGGGAAACAGAGTGAGACCCCATTTCTAAAAAAAAAAAAAAAAAAGATAAGCTGGGCATGATGGTACATACCTGTAGTCCCACCTACTCGGAAGGCTGAGGTGAGAGGATTGCTTGAGCCCAGGAGTTTGAGGCTGCTGTGAGCTACGATTGCACCATTGCACTCCAGTCTGGGCAACAGAGCAAGGAACCCTGCACCCATCTCTTAAAAGAAAAAAAGAGGCCAAAGGTGGGGGGTAGGGAAGATGAGATGGGAGAGGATGACAGAGCTTGGTCACTGCAATATGACTAAACACCCCACTTCCCCTGCCCCCAACACCACTTTAACCACTGCAGGATGGCAAAACACTAGAGGGAGGTGTCAGCCAGCCCTAGTCTGTGCTGGGCAGACACCACCCACTTGGGCCGCTCACCTTAGGGGACATGGTGACAAATGAAGCATCATCAGCAATGCATGAGCCGTAGCATGGGGGACTTGAAACTGCCATCCAAGGAACAGTTGCAGGGAAGGGGGTGATACATCCAGAGAAGAGAAGGCGTGGGCCAATGCAGAGACACACAACCGCCGCCTGCGAATATCTGAAGGGCTTTTGTCAAGGAGAGGGAGCAGAGGGAATGAGGCTCCCAAGGGTCATAGTAAATTTTTAAAAAGCAACAATAATAACCATAGCTGCCTTCTATTGAGCACCCAGTATGTGCCAGGTTAGCCATGCTAGTCTGTTATATGCATTCCTGATGAATCCCTACCTAGAGAGGAGGAAACTGAGGCTCAGAGAGGCAAATGTGGGGTGGAGTAGAAACTGGAAGCAGACAGAGCTCAGCTCAGGACAGGTACAATCACGCAGCAGGGAGGGCTGGCAGTCAGTTAAGAACTGGGGCAGGAGTTAGCACAGGGTTCTCATCCTCACTCCCCCAGCCATTAGCCACCGTGCAAGTCATCTCGTATCTTATAGACTCACTTTTCTCTCATCTGTAAAATGGGGAGAAATTAGTTCCGACTTAGGAGGATTACATGAGACAGTGTATGAAGATCACTTTATGCCATGCATGGCACATTCTAAATGTCTAAGAAATGTTAGCTGTTGTCATCATCACTGTCCTTCATCATTGAAAATAATGAGGTATTTTTGATGAATGTTCACAGGGGGCCTATGAGCCCTCTATAAATAGTCAGTTCCCCAACGCTAGGGGTCAGACTAGGTCTACCGGGGGTTTTCTAGGGCATCAGACGAGGGTTTGCCTAAATCAGTACTTTTAACCTTTCTCTCCTTTTTTATTTTGCTAAGGAAATGTTCCTTGGAGCAAAAATCTTCTGAGGAAGCCCTACATTTTAAAACTGGGGTCCACCCCGGCTTTGGGAACCCGGGGTCTGGAGGCCCCCTGGGCGCCGTGTGCGGGGCGTGGCTTGGGGATGGGGACATGTGCAGGACGACTGGTGGGGTGGGCAGGGGGAGGGGGCCTGTCACCGCACTTGCTCTTCTCCCCCAAGGTGGACAGGATCCTGCGCGAGGCAATGTCTGCTCCAGGCCTGGCTGCCATGTCTGCAGTTGTCATCCACAACGACACCGTGCTCTGGACTGGGAACTTTGGGAAGAAGAATGGCTCAGACCCAGCTTCTGGGACCCCCAATGAGTACACCATGTACCGGTCAGCGGGGTGACCTCCAGGGTCCTGTGGAGGGGGCAGGGCATGGGAATGATATGGGGGACCTTGTAGATAAGGACACTCAAAAGAATCATGGCTCAGGGTGTAAGCTGCCAGGGCCCATTATGAAGTCTTGACAATTTTGTAGAAGAGGAGAGTGAGGTCCAGAGTGGACCAACCAGTGCCCCAAATGTCACACCACAGGGGTAACAGGTCAGGAAGAAATACCTTCTGGAGAGGCCTTAGTTCCAAACCTCCCAAACTAGAAAATGTTCCCTTGTGCCACCTGCCACCCATGTGCCACAGAAGAGCCATACCCAGTTCCTGGACCCTTGCTCATGTCCCCATCAGTTGGCAGCAGCAGCCCAGGTGGAAGCAGCTGGGGACATTCAGTTGCATACCTGTAGTCTCCCCTCCTGGGTGCTGCCTGCAGGATCCTCAAAGCTCACCATGCAAAGTGAACACATTTGCTCCCAGAGGTACTGTGGGTGCTGTAGGAGTCCAGAGGGCACGAGCACCGTGCTGCACATGCCGGGCACAGGGCCAAGCCTTATGTTTGCTATTGTTTATTGAACAGTTACTACCTGCCTGGTATGTTTTCAGGCACTTTACACGCTCAGTCTTGTTCACTCCTTTTTACAACCTGTGTAGCAGACAATGACACTGAGTCTTGGAAGGGTCTAGTAACTTGCCCAAGGCCACACAGCCAGTGAGAGGCAGAGGTGCCGTCCAAACCCAGGTCTGTCCCAGAATGGGGGTGCCTGGTGAAGGGCCTGGCATAGGGTGGGTGCTCACGAGTGTCCATCCCACTGGCTTCTGGTACGTTCCCAAGTATCCCAAAGGCTGTTCTATAGGGGCTGGTGAGTTTTCGCCGGGGGTGTTGACTTAAGGGAGGATTCAGTGCTTTTCTAGAATACTAGAAAGTTGCTGGCTGGGGGCCCAGGGTGGGTGGGTTGTGGGGACGCCCTTTGCACCCTTGTGTCCCCAACCTTGTCCAGGATCTCCAGCATCTCCAAGATCTTTCCGGTCCTCATGCTGTACCGCCTGTGGGAGGAGGGCACCGTGGCCTCCCTGGACGACCCTCTGGAGCGCTATGCCAGCGCCTTCACCATTAGCAACCCGCTGGGTGTGGCATCGGCCCCCGAAGAGCAGGGCCTGGCGGATGGGCTGGCGGACGAGGGCCCTGCCCCGAGGCCGTCGCCTGTCACCCTCCGAAGGATGGCCAGCCAGCTCTCAGGTGAGCGTCTCAGCACCAATGTGATGTGCCCCAATAATTTCAGGTGGGGGCTGAGGGAC